GGCGGGGAGGATCAGACGGAAAGTATGAGGAGGGGAGGGCGGGAGGATGGAGGCAGGCGGGAAAACGAAAGAAAAATGAAGGATGAGAGCGTAAGAAGAGGAGGATGAAGAGAGGAGAGGCAGGAGAAGAGAGGAGAGGGAGGAAGGGAAGGTGATGAGGAGGAAGAGAGGGTTTTATATACTTAACCCCAGTTAGCAGGTATGCAGGGGTGTAATTAGAGTGCGGTAATAAGAGAGTTTATTATGTGCGGAGCAGGCAGACGTATGTTTTCTGTGCGTGTGTGTGTGTGTGTGTGTGTGTGTGTGATGAAGTCATTAACCGAAGCTCATTTCTTCACACAGGAGGAGTTGGAAGCTGTTGCAGGTTGACATCATGTCTTTTCCACTTACAGCGTTCACAGATCGCTTACAACGACGTCATCCTCCAGATTATTTTAGGATTATTTTATATTAACATTATTTGACTGACTGTGTACAGTACTCTTACTGATTACCCTACTGTTTCCTGTCAAATGGCTGCTGTGAAAAAGGTCTGATGAGGCAGTGGTAGAAAAACCATATATTTCTGTATTTTTCTATTTATTTACTTATTTTTATTTATATTTTTCAACGAGGTTTAGTCCATTTTTATGTTTTTTACGATTCTTCGCTTTTGCTGTATTTCTTTCTTTTCTCTTACTATGTGTATTAGTAATGCACCAGAGTAACGAGGTAAATTCCTTCTATGTGAAATCAATGAACCAGATTCTGATATAAAACATAGAAAAGTAGCAAATCCTCACATTTGAGAAGCTGAAACCGGAGATTTTTTGAGATTTTTTGCTAGATAACCGCTTAAAACTGTTGTTCTCCCCAAAACGGATCCACATCAGTCTGTGGACCCGTATTAGATAAGATCTAGTGATTCTGTTTACACTTTGAGTCAATAAAAGTGAATTTAAAATATTCCCACAGTTTTAAAGGATTAAACTGATGATGGATCTTAATCCTGTACCTGGTTTACAACCTCTAAAATGGCAAAATACCTTAAAAATAAAGGTTTATTAATCGTATGTGAACTGATGTGGTTCAGTTTTTAGGATTGGAGAACAGTTTAACACACTCAGCAACATGTGCCGCCATTAAAAATAATGAAAAGTCATAAACGAACTGCCACACAAACAGCTGAGCGGACAGAAAACAGCTCCAGAGATAAACTGTCTGAACTCGAGAAAGAGAAAACGACTCTACTGATGCCAGTTTATCAGTAATGATTGAGTGTGTGTGTGTGTGTGTGTGTGTGTGTGTAC